AGATTCTTTGGGACTTTTTTTTTTTTTTTGGCCTAGGCTGGCTGGAAACAGCAATCCTCCAGATCTCAAGGGTAGCTAGGATTACAGGCCTGAGCCACCAGCCCCAGCTTTTCTACTTGGTCACATTTTTAATAACTCAGAAGAGTCTCAGAATAGCAGTTACTATCTCTGTCACTTTCCCGCCCAAGTCCTGGGTAAGGAGAGAATGGCAAAGCACTGAAAAAGGAGGGCCTCGTGTTTATGAAAGGATGAGAGGCGGGGAGAAATCTTTTGGTTTTGCTATGTTCTGTTCTGTCTTTTGAAAGACTTCTTCCTTTCTTTTTTCTTTGTTGTTGTTGCTGCTGCTGTTTTTAGATAGGGTCTTCTGTGTAATCCACGCTGGCTTCAGGCTCTGGATTGACCCCCATGCCACAGCCTCCAGAGTGACGGGATTACAGGCATATGCCCTCACACCCAGCTTTGTTCGTTTCTCTTACTTCCCAATTTCAAGAACAGTATATAACATGTATAATAATTATATGAATGTAAAGTGAGAGAGATAGACCAGGTGCTGTTTTATTAGGTTAAGTAATGACTGCAGTGGTTGTAGCTTAATGGTAGAACAGACATGTGTTTTATGTGTTCAAGAACCTTAGTTTGGGGGCTGGGAAGGTGGCTCAGTGGTAGAGCGCTTGCCTTGCATGCATGAGGCCCTGGGTTCGATTCCTCAGCACCACATAAGCAAAAAGCCAGAAATGGCACTGTGGCTCAAGTGGTAGAGCGTTAGCCTTGGGCTGATGTGCTGGTGAAATTTGTGGTTCCTAAGCCTCCTTTCTAGCCTCTTTGTGTGTATATGTGTGTGTGTACGCCAGTGCTGGGGCTTGAACTTGTTAGGATCCTTCCTGGCCATCCCAGGGGACCACATGGAGGCAGGCATGCACAGGAGAAAGATTATTATAAGTTTTTTTTTTATGTTTTTAATTTTTTTTTTGTCAGTCGTGGGGCTTGAACTGTGGGCCTGGGCACTGTCCCAGTGCTCTTCAGCTCAAGGCGACCTCTCTACCACTTGAGCCACAGCGCCACTTCCGGTTTTCAAGTGGTTTATTGGAGATAAGAGTCTCACAGACTTTCCTGCCTGGGCTGGCTTTGAACCTCGATCCTCAGATCTCAGCCTCCTGAGTAGCTAGGATTATAGCTTTCAGCCACCGGCACCTGGCTAAGGTTTTTTTTAGAGGGGTCACATCTCCCTAGGGAGAGGGAGAAATATGGCGTCTGCCCCTATCCAGGTGGGTAGCTCTGGGGCTAGTGGTGAGGTCTGAGTGCAGGCAGGTCTGGGTGGAGAGAGGGGGTAGCCAGGCATACAGTGAGAATCCTAGGGCAGGGAGGAGCTCAGGTCTGGGTGGAGCTGAGGACTGGAGGTGGGGATAATGCTAACAGAACTCAGGGCCTCCTTGGTAACCCTTAGCTTTTTCCTTAAGGCTAGCACTCTACCACTTGAGCCATACCTCAACTTCTTGCTTTTGGGTGGTTAGCAGGAAATAGGCTTTCCTTCTCTTTCTTTCTTCCTTCCTTCCCTCCCTCCTTCCCTTCTTTCCTTCTCTTCCCCCACCCTTTCTCCCTGAGCTTTTTTTTGGCACTCTACCATTTGAGCCACAGCTCCACTTGCAGCTTTTTTGGTGCTTAATTGGAGATAAGAGTCTCACAAGCTGGGTGCTTGTGACTCACGCCTGTAATCCTAGCTATTCAGGAGGCTGAGATCTCCCAGGCAGGAAAGTCTGTGAGTCTTTTTTTTTTTTTTTTCACAGTCCTGGGCCTTGAACTCTGGGCCTGAGTGCTGTCCCTAAGCTCCATTTGTTCAAGGCTAGCACTCTACCACCTGAGCTTTCAGCTTTTTCTGTGATTAATTGGAGATCAGAGTCTCACAGACTTTCTTGCCCAGGCTGGCTTTGAACCACAATCCTCAGCTCTCAGCCTCCTGAATTGCTAGGATTACAGGTATGAGCTACTGGCATTCATTATATTTCTTTTTTTTTCTTTCTTTCTTCCTTTTTTTTTTGTTGGTCGTAGGTTTGAACTCTGGGCCTGGGTGTTGTCCCTCAGCTCTTCAGCTCAAGGCTAGCACTCTAACACTTGAGCCACAACACCACTTCTAGTTTTCTGGTGGTTAAGAGTCTCATGGACTTTCTTTCCTGGGCTGGCTTTGAACCATGATCCGCAGATCTCAGCCTCCTTGTTAGCTAGGATTACAGGTATGAGCTACCAGCGTCCAGCTCCTTTATTTTTTTGGGGGGAGGGTGTCAGTCATGGGGCTTGAACTCTGGGCCTGGGCCCAGCCCTTCCCCTAGAGACTCTTATCTCCAATTAACCACCAGAAAATGCGAAGTGGCTCCGTGGCTCAAAACTGTAGAGCACTTGCGTTGAACAAAAAGAACCCAGGGACTGGGCTGGGAAGGTGGCTCAGTGGTAGAGCTCTTGCCTTGCATGCTCGAGGCCCTGGGTTCGATTCCTCAGCACCACATAAACAAAAAGAAAAAAGCCAGAAGTGGCGCTATGGCTCAAGTGGTAGAGCGCTAACCTTGAGCTGAAGAGCTGAGGGACAGTGCCCAGGCCCAGAGTTCAGGCCTCACGACCAGACCAAAAAAAAAAAGAACCCAGGGACAGTGCCCAGGTCCTGAGTTCAAGCGCCACAATCGGGGAAAAAAAAAAAAAAGAATGTCCTGGATTTTTCTGCCCAGGCTAACTTTGAACCAAGACCCTCAGATCTCAGCCTCCAGAGTAGCTAGGATTACAAGTATGAGCCACTGGTGCATAGCCAGTCTTCTTTCTTCCTTTCTTTCTTTCTTTTTTTTTTGGTTGGTTGTGGGGCTTGAACTCTGGGCTTGGGCACTGTTCCTGGGCTCTTCAGCTCAAGGCAAGCGCTCTACTGCTTGAGCCACAGCGCCACTTCCAGTTTTCTAGTGGTTTATTGGAGATAAGAGTCTCACGGACTTTCCTGCCCGAGCTGGCTTTGAACCGTGATCCTCAGATCTCAGCCTCCTGAGTAGCTAGGATTACAGTCGTGTGAGCCACTGGCACCCAGTCTTCTTTCTTGACCCCAGCCCTAAGGCCCTCCCACTGCCTTTGCATGTACTTCCTGCCTGACTAATTGCTCTCTCCGTAGTCCCATGAAGCCACCCCAGTTCTCTTAGGCCCTTCTCTTCCCAGATCTTCTCTGTTCCTTCTTAGGGAGGCTCTCTCCCTAAGTGGGTAATACATAGCCAGCAGAGGCGGAGAAATGCCCATGGGAGATTTGCAGCACTGTCCTTGTATATATGAGTTAAATTGGACTGGCTCACAAAAACATTAAAGCATTAAAAGAAGTCATTTTTTAACATATCTAGGCATATCTAGAATATAAACAAGAAATGTCCAAGTACTGGCTTCCTCCAACACATACAAACAGACACACACACAGTACCAAAGTTTTGGTTGTGGGCACTATAACTGATACCCTGCAAGGAAGACACAGGGGTACCTTCTAAGTCATCATAGTCCCTCAAATGTCTAGCTTACTTTTTGTTCAAGGTTGTCTTTTTTTTTTTTTTTGCCAGTCCTGGGGCTTGAACTCAAGGCCTGAGCACTGTCTCTGAGCTTCTTTTGCTCAAGGCTAGCACTCTACCACTTGAGCCACAGTGCCACTTCTGGCTTTTTCTGTGGATGTGGTGCTGAGGAATGGAACCCAGGGCTTTGTGCATGCTAGGCAAGCACTCCACCGCTAAGCCACATCCCCAGCCCAAGGTTTTCTTTCATTCTAAATATTTTTTATTATTGTTATTCTAAAGGTGTTGTACAGAGGGGTGACAGTTACATAAATCAGGTAAGGAATACATTTCTTTTTGGACAATGACACCCCTTCTCTTGCTCTCTCCCAGTTTTTCAAGGTTGTTTTTCTTGAAGGCTTTCTCAGACATCAGCAAAAAGAACATTCTACCTTGCCTCTCCCTGAGCCTTCACTATGTGCTCTCTCTCTCTCTCTCTCTGTCCCTGTCTGTCTGTCTGTCAGTCTCTCTTTGTGCAGGTTTTGGGGCTTGAATTCCCTGATTTTTTTTTGCGCAAGATTAGGGCTCTATCACTTAAGCCACAGTTTTACTTCCAGCTCTCTCCCCCCCCCCTCTCCCCCCACTCGGTTAATTGGAGAGAAAAGTCTCACGGATTTTCCTGCCCAGGCTGGCTTCGAACCCTCATCCTCAGATGACGGCCGCTTGGGCGGCTAGGATTACAGGAGTGAGCACTGGTGTCCAGCTCCACCTGTGGGACTCTAGGGAGCAGCAAGGAGGAGAGGAGGAAAGGAGAGAGGAGAGAGAGGGAGGGAGAGAGGGAGAAAGGAGGAAGGGGAGGCAGAGAGGAGCGGGAGAGGGAGCGAGGGACCGGAGGGGAGGCCGCGGGGCGGGGCGGG